AAAATACTCTGATTGTGTAGGTGATACAGTAAGGCAGCAGATGAGATTAGGAAGGTGACTGAATCATAGATTCACTGAATGGATTGGCCCCCTGGAAGCCACCATTCCAGCCCCCGATCTCAGACCCTCTGGCCAGTAGCTGCATGTCTTCAGCTTGAACAGCTCAGGAAAAGATATTCATGCCTCACTGAGAGAGGATCCATTTTGCTTTTGAGTGAAACCACATCAAAAAGTCCTGGGATCTCCATCATTACTTCTATTGTGGAATTCTGGACCTATACAGAACACATGTAATTGTACTTTCTTCTTTTTTTTATTTTTAAAATTTTATTTTAATATTTATTTTTGGCTGTACTGGGTCTTCCTTGCTGCTTGCAGGCTTTCTCTAGTTGTGGCAGATGGGGGTACTCCCTAGTTGTGGTGCGTGGGTTTTTCATTGCGGTGGCTTCTCTTGTTGCAGAGCACAGACTGTAGAGTGCGCAGGCTCAGTAGTTGTGACACATGGGTGTAGTTGCCCTGCAGCATGTGGGATCTTAGACCAGGGATCGAACATGTGTCTCTACATTGGCAGGCGGACTGGACCACCAGGGAGGTCCTGCAATTGTTCTTCCATATGACATCCTTTAAAATATTCACTACTACCAACAATACCATGAAGTCGCTATTTTTCCTTTCCAGACATAATTAGTTCCTTCAGCTGGTCCTCAAATGATAGCCCTCCCTCCATTAATACCTATTTACTGATCATTTACTACCTGAAATACAAATTAACTTATCTCTTCTTAGAGAGGTTTGTGTAAATGAGGACAACTAGGAGAGCAAAACTTGAATCTCTTTACGATCATATTTATTATTAGCTGACTCTGGGGGACTTGAATTATCTGGACTGTTATCTTCATCTGCTTCACTTTGCTTATAGACCCAGTTTAACTGGCCTCCTTGCCCTATTGTTTGATGTTAGCACTGCATTTATGAGCTGATGATATTTATTCTTTAATGTGAAATAAAGCTATAGGTTAAAAGCTAAGGACTGTTAAACATATTGATTGTTGCTTTGAAGACTTCAAATGTTAAAAGAACTAATTAATACTATTTTTTAGAATGTTTTATGAATACATTTGGGATTCCTTAAAAATTAAACTGAGGTCATAAGGTCTTTAAACCTATTGAGAGGTGCTCTTTGATGACCTAGAGTGGGGGAAGGGAGTGGGAGGGAGGCTCCGGAGGGAGGTGATATGTGTGTGCTTACAGCTGATCCATGTTGTGGTACGGCAGAATCTAATAGAACATTGTGAAGCAGTTATACTTCAATTTAAAATAAATTAAAAAAACTTATTGAGTGAACTTTAGGGGCCGCTGATTCTTTGGGGGATGCATCAGGGGCCATTGGCGTTGGTCTTCCTGAATTTGGGGTCATGACTCCATAAGGCTCCGTCTCCTGACCATGCTGTCTTTGGCTGTGGCTGCAGCTTTCTCAACAGTTGGGCTTGCACTTTTCTGATCTACCATCTATGCAGACCTCGGAGTAACATTTTAATCCACTTTTTCTTTGGCTGTGCCTCGCGGCACGCAGGATCTTAGTTTCCAGACCAGGGATGGAACTGGCACCCCTCTGCAGTGGAAACATAGAGCCCTAACCACCGGGTCACCAGGGAAGTCCCAGACCTGGGAGTAATATTTTAAAAAGCAAAAATATTAGCCCACTGCTTAAAAACTAGTGATGATTCTCCAAGATAAACTCCAGCCCATCTGCATGGACTGCCATCTGCCCACCCCGACTCGGCCAATTTCATACCTTGAGGCCTGCCTTTGGCCATTGGACACCTCTGACTTTGTTCTCTTGGCACCCATTCTGGCCATTTCCCACCTCTGAGTCTTTCTGAACCTCTTCTTTATGCTTCTAAAGTATAGTCTCTCACTTCTGCACTTAGCTTACCCTTTAAGACTTGCTTAGCTGTCACCTCCTCCATAAAGTCTTCCCTGACTTACTTTCTAACTCCTCCCCTCCTCCCCCAACCGCTCCCTTGGTTTTGGTTTGGATCCTGCTGGGTTCCGACTGCCTTGTGCATTTTCCTCTGCTCTTTTTTCTTTTTTAACTTCTGTCCTCAGTCGTGTCTGACTGTCTGCTACCCTTTGGATTGTAGCCCACCAGGCTCCTCCGTCCGTAGTAGTCTCCAGGCAAGAATACTAGAGTGGATTGCCATTTCCTCCTCCAGGGGATCTTCCCAACTCCTATCTACTGCATTGCAGTTGGATTCTTTACCTGCTGAGCCATTGTGGAAGCCCCTTTCCCTTCTGCCCCTATGAAATCACTTTTAGTTCCTTCAGCACTGAGAATGCCTTGCCAGTGCAAGGCTATATCCTTCCTTTTACACACAACGGTCAGCACATGGCCAGGCATGGAGTCCATCTCAAAACGTGTGTTGAACTTGAATGAAATGAGGGGGACTCAACCTTTGAACTCTCTGGCAAATCTGTTTTCAGCAAAAGGTTATAGAAGCTTAGATTGATTCAGGGGAGTGCATATGCGTCATGTCTCTATGGATTCTCAGATTTTGCAGAAGCTTCTGAAAGGAGCTCTTTTATATTTATAAGCGTAATGGCCATGCCTATCAAAGAAAAAGCATTCAAGACAACGGAGGTGGTAGCAATGACAACAGTGTATCCTGTATCCTTTTCACAGCTTTGTTATTCTCAGGAAATGCAGCACATCATCAGTGTGAGTTTCATGTTTCATGGTAATTTTATTGGATGTGATGATAGCACAACTAATAAACCTGCCATAGAGCGACAAAATATCACTCAGCGAAATTTGATATTCATAAATGCAGGAAAAGTGTTCTTCTCTTGGTATGACTAGTTTTCTTGTAAAGCAAGTAAATGGTCCAAAGGAAGAATTATGCCTTTAGAGGATGCTGCCAAATGGGTGAAAGAGAGCTGCTATTTATTTGTAATCTGTAAACACAATCACTTGTGGGGGATGACCAGGTAATGCTTTTACCTGGAACCTCATAAAATTCTGACTTCAGGATATCGTCAGTTTTTATGGCTTTGCATGGCCCTGTGATTTTAGTGTGATTTAACTTTGGATTATTTGTCTGCAGCAAAAGTGAAAGGTACCAGAACCAATTCTTGGCTGATAGCTTCCCCTTTGTCACCTCTCCCAGGGGACCAGGCTTGGTTAAAAACGCTTCCCTTCTTTGTGTTCCTTTTCAACCCAGTAGAATGTAAGACCCCGAGGATCTGGTTTCATTAGAATTTTCTTGAGCATGAGGACCGTGTAATGACCAAAAGTGAAAATGTTAGTTGTTCAGTCTTGGCTGACTCTGCGACCCCGTGGAGTGTAACCCACCAGGCTCCTCTGTCCATGGGACTCTCTAGGCAAGAATACTGGAGTGGGTTGCCATTCTCTTCTCCAGGGGAGCTTCTCCACCCAGGGATAGAACTTGAGTCTCCCACATTACAGGCAGATTCTTTACTGTCTGATCCACAGGGAAGCCCTGTAATGACCAAATAAATATCATAGTAAAAGTCTGATCTTCACAAATATATACATTTGCATTTCATCCCAGCAGGATGTAAGATCCATGAAGCCAGTGAGTTTGTCTGTTGTGTCAACATCCATGTGTCTTAAACACTATGTGCCTGCCACGGTGTAGGTGATCAAAAAGTATTTGTTCAGGTATTTTTCAGTGAAACCCCTGTGGGCCTGGAACTTCTTCTCGATAAGACATACATCGGTGCAGTTTGAATTTTCAGGGCATTTAAAAATATCATCTCTATTTCCAAGTTTTAATCTGAAGAAATATTGGCCACTAGGCAGGTGGGAGGTGTATGGGTGAAGCTCAGATCTCTCTTTTCTGCCCCTGAACTCACTAACAGGATCAGCTTTACCCACTGCTATCAGAAAGTACTAGTGAACTGCTCTGTATTGGTTTCAGAAACTGTGTGTGTGTGTGTACCTGATGAAAATGTTTTGGGGAAAGATATTTTTAATCCTCTTTGTTTCACAATACTCCCATTTCTTTCTGCTTAGCCTTGTGGAGCTAAGCCTCATTCAAGACAATTTTCTGCTCTTTTAAGAGTGGAGTGTTGGAACCGTGCCCCTCACCCCCGCCCCCCACTCTGCCCCCGCCAATGCCCTAAAGCCTTAGGTCGGGTCATAGACACAGAGGGTGAAGGGTGCTTCAATTTCAAATGGTGCAGGCTGATCTTGATCTCAGGCAGACAGCAGTGAGCAGTGGCTTGAAGCGAGATCTTAGTTCCCTGCCCAGTATTTTGTTGCTTCAAGACTAGATGTATTTTCCATCATCTTTCAGAGTGCCCTTGTTTGGGACAGAGTTCTAGGTTATCTCCAGAAGTGGGACACAGGGACAGGGCCCCATAGAACTAAAATTTAATATTTTAAATGTTGTGAATATTTTATCACAGTTTTATTTTGTTTGCATTTACATGACACTGGATGATAAATAGCTTTTTAAAAATTGTGATTTCATTGTTGAAAAACCAGGTTGGCTTAATAATAATTGGCTTCATGGGTAATTATGCCAGCTAACATCTGTTCTCTCAGTTGAAAGTGTGCTTGTGTAATGGATTATCTATAAACATTGTTTAATTTAGTGATAAGTCTATAGAAAATTATTGGTCAGTCTGAGACTCAGGTCATATTCTTATCTCCTGATCAATGCTAAGTTTAAGTCTCAGAGGAAACTGCGATAGCTGCTGTGTTTATTTCCTGTCTGCTCCTATGCCTAAAATATATAAGAAGTTAACATATACATGTCATTCTCAAGTATTTTAGAGTTTTTGAATGTCTGCTGTATCAAGATGATAGTATGAATTCATCCCACAGTAGCTATACTCTCCTCATTTTGGCTATGTGAATTTAATCTGTAGAATTTATGAGACCTCTTGGCAAAAAATGTCCCCAAATGTTTATAATGCTGTGCTGATGAATGTGTTTGAGATGTAATTAAGTAGAACTTATTTTCTTTTTTCAGTTCTATCAGGAGGTCCATTGCCTCAAGGACATGAATTTGAGCTGTATGAAGTTAGATTTCATTGGGGAAGAGAAAACCAGCGTGGTTCTGAGCACACAGTTAATTTCAAAGCTTTTCCCATGGAGGTAAGAAGAACAAATCAGCTTGAACAACACCAAAACTTTGTTGTTCATGTAGAGTATTTGGTGATTTACTGAAAATGATTTAGTTTCCAAGTAGCTATGTAGTTCTTGAATTTTATCAATTTATATTAAAATAAAAAAGTCCTCAATAAGCTTTTGGCAGCAGAAGAAACTTCCCATTAGCCTTAGTGGGCCTGGAGAATGCGCAGGGGATGTTGGTTATAAAGGTAATCTATGCTGTTAAGTTTCATCATAGTAGTGTTATTATTGTAAAAATTCTGCAGACTCAGCAGGTCACTTTTGTGGATGCTATGAATAGATGATAAGCAGAAGGCAACTTTTGGAGAAACCTCAATGGTAATTAAAAGTCTAGTTTAGTTCTGATTAAAATTGGTAAGTTGATGTATTCATCTCAAGCAATTAGGGGGAGAGAGAAGAGATTTTTAGAGAGTTATTTTGTCTGAAGAAGTCACTCTCCTACTTACTGTCTTAGTCAACTCCTTCTTTTCTTCAGTATCTAGTTAGCATGTCATTTCCTCATGGGACTCTTTCTGAGTTCCTTCCCAAAGCAGAATTAATTTCTCTCTTCTCTGTGCTCCCAGTTCCCTTGATAGATGGCTGCTGAGGCATTGATCTCATGCATTGTAACCTTTAGTGTTTAAAGAGTCCTTCTCACTAACTGTGGGCTCTTGTTATGGATTGAAGTGTTTATGATTTGCCACCCCCCCGCCCCCTCAATTCATATGTTGGAAACTCTACCCCTTCATGTGATGATATTAGGGGGTGGAGCCTTTGGAAAGTGATTAGGATTAGAAGAGGTCATGAGGGTGGGGCCCTCATGAGTGGAATTAGTGCCCTCATGGACTCCAGAGGGAGCTTGCTTCTCCTTGCTCACTGCTGGTTGATGGACACAGGACCGTCTCCAAGCCAGGAAGCGGGCTCTCACCAGGTACCCTGATTGTGGACTTCCCAGCCTCCAGAGCCGTGAGGAATAAATTCTGTTGTTTAAGCTACCAGTCTATGGTAATTTGTTATCACAGCCCAAGCTAAGACAGTCTCCCTCTCACTCTCTGTGTTCCTTCCAACATTGAGTCCAGTGCAAGGAACATCGAGACAACCCATGTTGGTGCGATTGACAGGATGCCTCTGTTGTTCATATTTCTTTCTTCTTTTTTTTTTTTTTTCATATTTCTTTCTATAAGGACCAAAGTTCTCACCTGGGAAATAGCCCATCAGTGACAAGTAATGGTATATCTGAGGGGCCATCAAAATGCCAGTCTTCCTCTCTATCATTCCCAGCTGCATGTACTGCAGTATGGAATTGCTCATGATCAGATGCCACATTCATATCTGCCTCATTGCCTGGAAATCACTACTGTTTATATAAGTGATACATGTACCTTAAAGAATGAAATCAAAGAAAATATTTCTCAGTGTTGCTTGAATAATCATTAAAAAAGTTTTCTTTTGAAAGCTCAAAATATCCCTTCCTTAAAAAAAAAAAACTCAGGGTCTTAAAAGAAATATTAAATGAAAAAATACTACATGTTTTGAGGATGGAGGAAAAAAACCAATTGCAGTGTGTTGAATAGTATATGTGTTATGTGATACTAAGGACAATAATTGGAGATACTTCTTTAAGGACTTGATGGGTGACGTTGGGTCTTCAAATGTTACCTTTCTAGGGGCTTTTTTCCTCAATGCCCATAGATATCCTCTCACTTCTAGTGCCTTGAAACAGTTCCACCCCATCTCTGTGTCACCTCTTGCTGCTGCCCTATCCCCATCCAATGTGAGAAGGAAGAGTTCATGCCAGAACATACGAAAGAAGAAAGAGGACCAAAGACAATTCCAAATAACTAAATCTGCAGAGTAGCCGAGGGCTGTGGAGGGACAGGAAAACACTGTGCTGTCATCCTGCCCTCTTCTTCATGTTTGAAAAGCTTCTCCATTTCAACCAGCCTTCAAAGATATATTGGTCTAATCAAAAATTTAGGAAGAGATGGGAGTCCTTGGGAAAGCACCAATGTCTGGATGAAGATTCAGTGACTTTGCTTGTGACACACAGAACTTACAGCCTTGGGAGTTTTATTCGCTTAAGTGAGTCAGTGATATGTGCTTTTCTCCCCGAAGTCAAAAAGAACTTCCGGATCGAGCGTTCAGACTGGTCCTGCTACTTGATGAAGGTTTAACTGTCCTGGTCCATTAAGCACAGGTAATGGTTTGTGCTGAGTGGAGATTAAATTCTGGTTTTGTTTCTGCAGAAATATTTTTATGTTTAGAATGATGGAATTACTGACTGTAATTTTTCCAAAATAGGTGATGAATAATATTTGAATTCTGTGCTATCCCAGATTATCTCTGATCCAGTCCTAGAGAGAAATACTTCTACTGGTCACCTGATGTTGGTTTTTAGTGCTGGGTCCTGTTGAGTGCACTGGTGTTGGGGGTGCACAGAGTTAGAGGGAGGTAACTGTGAGTCAGGTGTGTTTTGTTTTGTTTTGTTTTAATGGAGGCAGTGAAAGGTAAGTTGGGTTTTCAGGCGGAGAGGGCTGACTCAGTGAAAGAGAGAAGGACTCCATGTAGAATAGTTGAGGAGGGAATGAGATGCCTTAAGTGGAGATAGGTAGATAAATTGCTACCATCCCCCTGTCCTGAACTGCTGTCAGGGGCCGTTTGGAACGTAAGGATATGGCCAAAGGAACAGTGGAGAGTGAGGGGGCCAGGTGCTGTTTGTGGTACATGATTTAAAAAAAATAATTTTCTAGGACACTTTTTGTTTCTTGTTTGCAGTTTAAGACTGACTTTAATCTCCAGAAGATTTTTTGATACATATTTCCTTTTTGTTGATTTTACTTAAACTTAAATGGATGGTTTATTCCACAAACACTGTAAACAGATATTTACCTTGTCTGTTGCATATAACATGGGGATAGCTTTTAACAGAAATTCATCAAGCTTGCCTGTTGACTTTTAAAAATTATGTGTGCATGTGCTCAACTGTGTCCAACTGTGACCTCCTGGACTGTAGCCCACTGGGCTCCTCTGTCCTTGGAATTTTCCTGGCAAGAATACTGGAGTGGGTTGTTATTTCCTACTCCAGGGGATCTTCCCCACCCAGGAATTGAACCCTCATCTCTTGCGTCTCCTGCATAGGCAGGAGGATTCTTTACTACTGCATTACCTGGGAAACACTTTTAAAATTATAAATACAGGCCTAAAAACAATCCTGAATATATGTTTGATGCTACTAGTAGTCAGACACATCACTTCAAAAATTAACACAATTTGTGACATTAGACAATTTAAACTGCAGCTCTTGCACTCAGCAAGATGGATCAAGCATGTCCTTTCTGCTTTTCCTACTTGAGATTTGCAGTTTTCAGAAACACACATGCTTTCATGGCTGCCTGATGCTTCTTGCCATGTTTTTATCTTGTAAACCAAATTCTATTATGAAGACTCCAAATTTCTGCTTAAATGATGGTACCTTAACAAGAGAAAAGAAAATTGTGCTGCATTTTTCTTCCAGTTACCTAAAACATAATGGGTTTGCATGTATTAACTATTTTTACAAGTGTCTGGGTGATGTCTACCAGCTTAAATTCTTACCGTGTGGATATTTTGCGTCATGACATTTAATCAAGACAGCAAGTGTGAGTAGAAGGTTGTTGATTTAAGACAAGTATGGGATCCAGTCAAATTAATTCCTGTATGTTTGTCCTTCTGGTGGCTATAGAAGCTTCGTATTTTCTTTGGATGTTGTTGGATGTCTTAGCTCTTGATGTTCAACTTTAAATACTGTATGAATTTTGTGATTAGCTCTATCCTTTGTGAGTCAACCATATCGCTATAATTATTTATTGTATTCATATTAATTTTGTTTCAAATCCAATTAATGGAGGAACTTCCAGACAAGATCGGGCACATTCAGGGTGGTTTGGCCGTAGATTGGAGGAACTTCCAGATATTTAAGTTCAAATTCAACTTTCAGGATATGAGTTGTGTTTTAGTCATTTTTATGTGGAGACTGTCATGTTCTTTGCTACTTCAAGGTGGTCTAATGTTTCAGTTCAGTTCAGTTCAGTCGCTCAGTCATGTCTGACTCTTTGCGACCCCATGAATCGCAGCATGCTAGGCCTCCCTGTCCATCACCAGCTCCCAAAGTTTACTCAAACTCATGCCCATCGAGTCGGTGATGCCATCCATCCATCTCATCCTCTGTCGTCCCCTTCTTCTGCCCCCAATCAGGGTCTTTTCCAATGAGTCAACTCTTCGCATGAGGTGGCCAAAGTACTGGAGTTTCAGCTTCAGCATCAGTCCTTCCAATGAACACCCAGGACTGATCTCCTTTAGGATGGACTGGTTGGATCTCCTTGCAGTCCAAGGGACTCTCAAGAGTCTTTTCCAACACCACAGTCTAATGTTTAACTCCTGGTAAATTGCAATGAATCTTCACACAGGGATCGCTACACTCATACTTTTATGGGAGAGTACATTCCAGGCATTCAGGTTTTGTGCCAGAGCAGCAAAATTAAGAAAAAATCTGGAGGATGGAGAGATCAATAGTATGGCTAAGTTTTTTTTTTTCCCTTCAAGTAATAATATTAGCTTTCTGCTCTCCCTATTGTTTTGCAAAGGGAGGTTCTCTAATTTAATAACTAAATGTAGGAAGAGTATGATCTCAGGATAAACACCAGCCTATATGTTGAATAGACTGAACTTTTATTTATTTATTTATTTTGATTTCACATTAAAAATTTCTTTAAAAAATTTATTTATTTGAATTGGAGGATAGTTACTTTATAATAGTGTGATGGTTTTTGCTTTATATCAGTATGAATCGGCCGTAGGTATACATGTGTCCCCTCTGTCCTGACCCCCACCTCACACCTCCCTCCCCACTCCATCCCTCCAGGCTGTCACAGAGCACTGGCTTTGGGTGCCTTGCATCATACATCAAACTTGCACTGGCTATCTGTTTTACATATGGTAATGTATGT